AAGACATTGCATAGACTGCTTTGGGATGTTAATTTCTGCTTGAAGTGTAATTTAGATGCTAGTCCTGTTTCGGTTTTGGGTTTCTCTTCCCAATCTGTAAACAGGGAGCAGTTTCACTTTCCTATTTCTCTGGGGGCACACAGATTCCGTAGAAATGATAACTGTATACTGTAGTCACATCAACAACTTATTTCTGTCTGCTTGCTCATCAAAAGCCATGGTGTAGTACACAGTTTGCTTGCAGTTGGATCTCATCCTTGCTCCAGAGCTGAATGAGTGCCCAGGCATCTGCACTGGACCAGCTGCATTGGCAGCAAAAAATAGATAGCACTTCTGAAAAGGTTAAATGAAAAAAGATCTAAAAGTAGTTTGCTTTTGAGTTGAAAGAACTCAAAGAAGTTAGACTGATACCATCATTGAGGAGATACCCAGTACAATACCCAATAGCTCTGTTGTGACTCACAGCTGCAGCACCATGCTTGCTATCTTACAGAGCACTGATGGATGGTCTTGTGAGGAAATAAGTAGTGGGATGTGGATTTACAGAGCAGAAATTTGGAGAACTGCATGAACTTCTGTGTTTATTGTGTTTCAGCTTACTGTGGGGGTACAAAATATGTTGTACAAAAGTATATTGTCATGTGGTTGTAATCTTTAATGTGTAAGCAGGTCAGTAAGACCAAAAAAGTTAGTTTTCCCAGCTTGACCGTGCTGAGGCCTTTGCTATTGGTCTTTTTAAAAAATTCTGCACAGACACTGATGTAATGAAAAAGCACATGACCCTAGTGGAATTTAGCCAAATCTTCTCTTTAATCTGCAGCTTTCTTTCTGTCCTTGAATTGGCCAACATTAACTATTCAATATAGGAGCCTTCAGTCTTAGGACAAAGGTTTCATCTGCATCCAAGGTACTTCTGTGTTAATTAGGAAAAAAAAAAAAAAAAAAGAAAAACTGAATTCTTTTCAGTTCTCCAGTGTGTCTGTTGTAACAGATTAAAGTTAGTAACAGTTCAGTCATGTGTGAAACATTCTTGAAAGATACAGCTCTTCTGTATCTCTCTTTTTTTGAACAGTGGGAGGGGTTATCCTTTCTTGGCAACATGTTTTAATGCACCGTGTCTTTTGCTATGCTCCTGCAAAATCTTGACTTTAATGAAAATCATTCCTGGGGAAATCTCAGTAACAGCCAGAAATAGTTTTGTGAAAAATAAAGTTTGGAAACGAATAAGTAATGTGATATACAGAAAATTATGAAAGAGAAGAAAAGATGGAGCAATCTGCACATACTAGAAAGGAGGAGACTGGAGATTTTGAACAGGCAGATGTGTATGGTGGCCATCTGTTAGAAACCATTGGTAAGAATGTCACTGTACTGACGTAGAAAATAGAATGGTTTGATGGTGTCCAGAATCAAGGATGTAAGCTATGGACCTGAGTTGAAAGTGCTCTTATAAGAATGACATAATCTTTTGTGTAATGTCAAAGGACATTTTCAAGTTCACTATGAAACAAGACAAAGAAGACTGCCAGGCTGAATGGATGCCCAAAAGACCAAGGTGCTGACCGAGAGATAGAGGGCAGCAATTGTAACAATAAAATAAAGGCCAACATGTGGCTTAAGATTGGGTTTGGGAATTTTTTTTTACCATTAGCAAACATTTATAAACAACTTTCTAAGAAACAGTCTATTCACAGATACCAGCCTTCTGGCATTTGCATGATGTGTAGGAAAAAATTACAAGAAAAAGGAGATAAGAATATTTGGAGAGATTCTTATTATTTTCCTTTACATGTTTTATACATGGGAAATGAATATCTGGTAAATAAAGGCACTGTGAAGTTTTATGTCAGTGAGAGTAAATGATACTAAGACAATGGTCAGGTAGTCAGTACAGAAAGTAAAAGAGTTCAGCTATTCTGGCTAAAAAGATGCTGCAGTTAGAAATAAAAGAAAATAAAATCCTTCTTTTACAAAGAGGTCCTAGGCAGACAAGCAGAAAAAAAAGTAGAGCATGAGAAGTAATATATTGATAATGGAAAGATGATGGGATAACAAGTATTAAAGATACACATTGCAGGAAAGATCAAAACAGAAGTACATGTGGTACATTGCAGATACGAGAGACTTTTACATGTTTGTAAATTCTTTCTTCATCATCTGTTTGAATTAAATCATCTGGAGGAAGGATAGGAAAACACATTTTTATCACAATAATATTTGCCAATAGTATTGAAATACATATTGAAGCAACAAGAATCACTTAAATGTTCAGACACCAGTATTTTCTTGTTTATATGTAGTTGTTTACTTAGCTAGATCTTCAGTTCCTAGTACAGGCAGTGGAAGTCTCGTTGATACAGTCAGCTTGGTATAGAGATAGGTATCTAAATTCATCTCAGTAGGTATCTTTGATGGAATAGTTGTGTAAGCAGAGACTTGCAGGCATTTCAGTACAGAATAGCCCACTGCTGCTTCAGAAGGATACACGTCTCCTGTAACCCGTGTGTCATATCTGCCACATACAGATGTCTCGGACGCCCTACGGCATCTCCAAGGGCAGCTGAATTGTAGTTGCTCAGCTGAATGACTCTGAGCATCACTGATGGTGCTGACTGTGACTCTTAGCAGGAGCTTAGTTCACATGCCGACTCTCAAATGTAGATATTCTCACCTCAGAGTAAATCCTGTCCATGACATCAAATATATATATGAATATAATATTTGGATGGTTATGAATTTGGATATAATATCATTAGATGACTATTTCCAGAAACTGTTATCACATGTGATGCTTGTAAATAAAGACTAAAACCAAGCGCTAGTAATGATGAGGCACAGATCTCAGTGGTTGTGCTAGCACATTTTATCAGAAAATGCTGGATAAAAAGGAGAGAATTCTGTTCTAGATTTGGAAAATCTAGAAGAACATTATAGAAAAGCCAGTCATAAAATTGTCAGACCTAGTCATCATACATTTATTTGTTTTAATTTAAACATTATATATATATAGATATTGCCTAAGCTTTCAATAAGGGCAGAAATGATAAAAAATGCAGGACAAAGAAAGAGCTAGCTAATGTCAGCAAGTACGTGGAGGAAATGGCAGTAACCAAATCCTAAGGAAAACTCAAGGAGCTGGTTAGGTTTAAATTGAGGGAAATGGGTAATCTCTACTTTAGGATTTTGAGAGAACTGTCTGGCTACATTACAGATCTGATAGCAAGTGGTTTTAATAAAGCTGTGGATGGTAGTACTGTGTGCATTAAAGAATAGCAATTTTTTTTCTAGATGTAAGATAAAGGAGTAATTGGGGCAAAACAAAATTGAAATACAGATTTGTTAAAAGTGGTTCATGCCAGGCAAACCTGCTAACTTTTTGTGATGAGACAATAGATTTGTTGTCAGGATAAACACAGTAATTCTGTTTACCGTGACCTCTACTAAAGATAGCATGTCACATGGGAAGTGGCTGATTAGTTTGGAGACAGTGATAATTAATCAATTTGTTGAAGGTGTAAGGAGCTGGCAAATGGAACATAATAGTGGATAGGAGGCTGCTGGGAGAGTACAAGCAGAGTTCTTCCAGGACTGAGTTTGGGAATAATCTCAGCATGTTATGCATGACCTTGATATACAACATAGAAATAAATCACAACATTTTCTCCTGATACCAATTATGTAATATAATAGGTATCTGGATGTTGTTTAGAAAGAGAATGACACGGAAGAGTAAGCTATTAAAAATGGGTTTTAAATTTAATAGTATAGACCAAAGGACTGAGGAAGTAGTAAACAAATTCTGTTATGAATTGAGAGCTGATCACCTGGACACAGCTGCAGTGGAGAATCTATTGAGGGTATAGAGAGGTATTGTATTTGATCTCATGTTGACTGTAAGCCATCACCATGCAGCTGTGAAAAAGGAAAATGCAATCTTAATGTTTCTCTATACAGATAAAGAAGCATTATTGACATTGTTAAGGCTTCTGGAGTACTGCATGCTCCAGTATGGCTCTGCTCTCCAAGTGTAAGTGTGGGCTCCAGCTGGTGTACAAAGGGCTACTGTGATGATCTGATGAAAGGAGAGGCTGCTGCATGAGAGACCACTTTTAAAAGCTCATCTCATTTATCCTAGTAAAATGAACATTGAAATAAGACATTCCTAGGTTTCTCTGTATAACGCCAAGAAAAGCAGTTACCTTAAATATAACTTCAGTACAATAGCAAACAGGTATAAGCTTACCTTGAATAATCCGAGGCAAGAAATTTAAGAAATTAGTCTATTTGAGCCTCCTGATAAGAATGTACCTACTGGATGGAGTGGATCAATTTATGAAAGGGATTACAAGAATCAGTTTCCTGTGGTAGAAATGGAGGAGGTCCCACTAGGGTGTGTGTTCTGATTGCACTACAGAGAACGGGCCAGTGCTGGTAACCAAGAGTGGACTCTGCCATGGTTACTCCCACATAACCCAGTTATACACAGGGTAAGTGGCTCCACATTTCGGAGAGAAACAAATAAATAGCATCTCTCCAAAATACTGCTTTCTAGCCAAGTTCTTTTGGGTTACTACTGACATTCCCTGTACTTCTTCAGCCATTCCAGCAGCTCCCTTGGCAAGTAGTTTGAAGATGGATGTGCAGGTGGGATCTGAAATCTTCCTCCTTTAGAAAAGTAACCGAGTGAACTTTGGTTGAAGTAGGAAGCAGTTCTGGCTGGTCACAACAAAGTGACTGTGCTTACCTAACAAGGCCCACAAGTGTGGAAAACTGTTATCTGTATCATTTTAAAGCACTGGAAATGTGCAGTTCACAACTGATAATTGTAACATATGGTTAATTGCTTTTGTCTCTGTGGTGTGCCAGCCAGAACCTTGTAAACAAAAAGTGCACAAGAAGCAAATACAGCGACAAGCATCATAATGCCTGAAGAATAAGGGCTGTAATGGTGATGTCTTTACATAGAATGGAAATATTTGTTTTATTTACTATAACCACAGGGTTCCTTGAAGGAGGTTCTTAAACAACTAGAAGAAGAGAAGAAAAGTCTCCAGAATCAGCTAAAAGATTATGAACTTAGACTGGAACAAGAGGCAAAGGTTTGTAATCACTGTATGAATCTAGTCTATAAAAGCTGTTACACTGTCTGACAGACAATGTGTGTGCAACACACAATAGAATAATTCCCCAAAATATGTCACTGGAAAAAGCTCTGCTCTGTATTTGTTTCTTCCTGTATGATTCAGCTTTTTAAGTATTTTGCTTACTAGTAGCCTGTTTTGCTTATTTTAAACACAGGCTTACCACAAAGCTAATGATGAGCGGCGCATGTACCTCTCAGAGATCTTACAGGTAAGCAAAAAACCTGTGTGACTCAGTACATTTCTAAAATCTTGATGCTCTCTTAATATAGCAATAGCATCTGTTAATGCCATGCGCTAAAAGTCTGTTATCACTTCATTCGTCTTCCAAATTCATTATAAAAATTGCTTTTTAAAATGTTTAAGAGCTAGGAATGATGGATTACTCAATTTATTTTATTTTTAAATCCATTTTTTGCTTTTGTATCAATTATAGTTTCATTGCTTCCAAGGATAGTCAAAGTGCCCTTAACTGAGAAAGCTGAAGCAATCTGCTGATACTTGCTTGTCCATCCAATAGTCACAAGACCCCTGTGGCTCAGTTTGATGTTTCAGTTGAAGAACAGAACCAAATTATTAGGAGCAGTGTCACCCACCTTTTTCATATTTCCTTTTTTGTCTTTTAAAGACAAGCTATCTAGCCAGCTCAGCATGACAATACAGTACGTATTTCAATTAAATTTACAAGATAAAAGATAAGGTTTCTTGTTTTTATGAACTCAGAAGTTAAATTTTATTGCTGCAAATTATGTAATACATAAAAGTCGATATTACAAGCTACAGGGAACCTGTAAAGATTTCTGGTGCTTCTTGTTGTGAAAAAAAAAAAACCAACACACTCTTAAATCCTGAATAATGTAGAAGTAATAGCTTAGTGTGATATTCAGGAATGACTGTCATGTAATCCCTGTCATAGCTAACTGGAGTGAAAGGCTGTAATTAGCAGTGTTTCCATGTGTTAGCACAGTGGGCAAGTGATTCTCTTATGTGGTTCATTGCCACTTTAGATAATCTGAAAGAATTTCTCAAGCTAACTTCTCCAGAATTAAACAAGGAAGTCCAGACTGATAATTGTAATATATCAGTGAAGCTGGGAACTGTTGGAGGAAGGTGCTGCATAAAAAGATATTTTCATTACTATATGCAATAGCATATATGTTGGGCTGCCCAGAAAAGCACTTAAACATGCATGAAAGACCATTTGAAGTGAGGCATATGCAGTGGCATGTTGCTTAAGTAGGGCATTAGGGACTCATGTATTACATTTTCTGTACTCAATGCCATGATATCAGAACCATGTGGGGGCAATTCATAGAACCATAGAATGGTTTGGGTTGGAAGGGACTTTAAAAAACACCTAGCTCCAACCCCCTGCCATGGGCAGGGACACCTCCCAGCACACCAGGTTGCCCAAAGCCCCATCCAACCTGGCCTTGAACACCTCCAGGGATGGGGCATCCACAGCTTCTCTGGGCAATCTGTTCCAGGGCCTCTGAGGGAAGAACTTCTTCCTAATGCCTAATATAAACCTCCCCTCTTTTAGTTTAAAGTCATTCCCCATTGTCCTACCACTGTACCCCCTGAAAAGGAGTCCCTCCCCAGCTTTCCTATAGGCCCCCTGTAGGTACTGGAAGGCTGCTATAAGGTCTCTCTGGATCCTTCTCTTCTCCAGGCTGAACAACCCCAACTCCCTCAGTTTGTCTTCATAGGAGAGGTGCTCCAGCCCTCTGATCATCCTTGTGGCCCTCCTCTGGATTCATTCTATAGGTCCATGAAAATAATCATCTTCAGGTTAATCTACCTGTCTTCAGTTGCTGACTTTGCTAGTGACTGGGTCAGGAATGCTTGCCTAATGCATTATATAGCGTGGAAACATAGCAGAAACCATTGTCCATAACCAGTGAGACTTGCTTCTCTTCAGTGCTATTTTTTTTTTTTTCTGATAAGTGCAGGATGTTTTCACACATCTTGTATAATGTGATGTTTAAATAATCCAGACCTTGAATCTTCTTTAGGTAACTCCAAAATCTAGTCCTAGGCTTTCAAAAGTCTTCAGTGGCCTGGTATAGCTGGCACATGGTATGTCATGATTACCACGCAGTTATTGTATGTTCCTGATGGACCTGTTTTAAAGAGGCTGAGAAAATTCGATTTGCTTGTGCTAGACACTCAAGTGTGCGTGGCAGCCAGACAAGCCCCACACCTGCTCCGTTTTCTGTTTCTCTTACCTTGGTATAGCCGAACCTCTGAGAGGTAGTTCTAGTAAAGGCAGCTGGAAAAGCAGCAAGCGTTGGGTGAGGAGGAAACACCATGAGCTAAGGAGCAGCAGAAGCAACTGATTTAATACTGCTCAGATTCTGTTAAATGCAATTCCAAGGGTAGCAACTGTTGTTTTCAGCATGTCCAGAAATGTTGTCACGACCTCCAGAGTATGCAGAGGATTTCCAGGCTGTGCTGTTTTTCAAGTAGTACCTGTTCTTAATTAATACTTTAATCATTCAAAAGTCCAACTAAATCACTACAATTTAGTACATTTTGTATCCCATTCAGAAAAGTATGTTAGAAACATAGTGCTTCTTCATTGAGAATATGGAGTTCAAGGCGGTATGACCAAAAATAGGCTAATTTTAAATTACATAGTCTCTGATTATCCAGATACTTCTGTGTGGCAAGGAATTTTGGCATGTGCTCCGTTCTCCCAAATAAACAAGGCATTGATCTAATATGTGCTTAAAGTATTTTGTGGCAGTAAGACTAGAATTGGTCAGTCAGTTTGAAAATATTTGACTGTATTAACTGTAATTATGATTAGGATTTAACTTGTTTTGTAAAACTTTGGCTATTGCTGCAGGCTTCATCTACACTTACAGTTGTTGAAAGGCAAAAAGCAGATGCTCTGAGAGTCAAGGGAGAAAGCCAGATATTGAGGTAAATTTATTTATATTCGTTCTTTTTCTGGTGCAACTCTCTGTTCATGTTAAATATCACTAAACATAATTCTAATGATAAAATAATAATCTTAACATCATTTTTGATACTGCTTTTCAATCTGTTTTATTTAATACTAAGTATGTTGCATGATTGAAAATACATATATTTAAGTGGCTTCTCTGAAATCTAGCAAGCTCTCTGATGTTTTTCCCTTTCAACCTGTATTAAAAAGGTCTAATTTTTTTCCTTATTACTTGCAGGACTGGGGACAGCAAGAGTACTCTTTAATCCATTAAGAGTAATTCAATTAAATAATTGCCTAGCCTGGTGCTTTTTAGTCAGTAGAGACTGTAAGGCTTTTTAGGATGATAATGTGAGTGATTTTAGTTGGCAACATAAGAAGGTTTAATTGTTCAACAGATTTCCGTTTAGTTATATGGGTTAGAAATTTAAATGTGAGACGAGCCCACCTGTTCTGAGCTGTAGAGAAATAAAATTAATTTCTGATTGTAGTGCTTCTGAGAATGCTTGAAATCAGGGGAGATTTAGTTTTTAACTGAACAGAAAATATTAAGAATATAAAGTATGAAGAATACAGGGAATCACATCGGAAGTGTGTTGAACCCAGTATCCTGCCTCCAGTCACCATAAGTAGATGCCTACAACAGTGTGTAAAATCAGGGCAGGCAGATAAAATGTTTGCTTTTGGAACTCTCCCAAACATTTTCTGTTTGAAGACTTCCTGAGCTAATATGGTTTCTATGTATTTAGCATCTCACAATAAATACTGTTCCATGAACCCACTTACCTATATTATTAATACTAGCATCCACAATACATACTGAGAGCATCTAAAAATGTAATGAGTAAATTATAAGCATGAAAATGTGTATGCATATTTGCTTACCTGCTTTATCCTTTCATTCTCTGTAAGCACAGAATAACAGGATTTCAAATTGGAACAGTGGATTTTCATGCTCCAGAGGAGGATTTTAGTAGAATATGAATTAACATGGTACAATATGAATTAATGTCTCTAACTGAAGTTTCTCAATACAGAAAAAGCACTATGTGGGTCTGAGGTTCCCCATATATATCCAGCATGTTGCATCTGGACCCAGTGATGCATTTGTATTGGGTTTATGTGACAAAGTTTTGGTAGTGAGGGGGCTGCAAGGGTGAAGCAGCTGCCCCATGTCAGATCAGGGACAGCTCCGGCCAGTGACAGTAATTGGTGAGTGATCTCCCTGTCTTTATCTCAACACGAGCTTTTTCCATTGTATTTTCTCTCCCTTTTCTTCTGAGGAGAGGGAATGAGAGAGCGATTGTGATGCTCAGGTGGCCATTGGTGTGAAACCACCACTGTTTAACATAGCCCATGTGAAAGAGGTCAGGAAGTTAGAATTAGGAGAATTTACTGTCTTTGTTGGGAGATTAAATATCATCACCCAGACGCTGAGATTTTCTGAGGGTTAACACTGAACTGTGATTTTGTTGTGGGTTTAATTAATTTATTTTAGTATATTGCTTACCTGAAATTATATGACAGCGGGTTTCTCTAATTTTCTTTATATCAAACAAAAGAAAATAAGGTTTCCTGTTGGTCTCAAAGGATGCATATTGTAACCAAATACCCATTTTCCATCTACTTTCCCTCAGAGGTTTTTTTTTTTTTAACTTCAAAGTACTTTACACACACTCATCTTTTAAATTGTCCATAGTAGTGAAGAATCTGGTTTGCAAAACATTGGCTTCTGTGACCAGTGACTTAAAACTATTAACTCAAGCTTTGGTCTTAGTATACAACACAGATACAAGAATGGGGATTTGGCCTCATTTGTATTTTAAACGCTAGATACAGGTAAATGCCCCTCAATCATCACAAAGTTATTACAGTCACTGCTATATTATTCCTTTTTAATTATGTTTTGATTTACTGCCTGAAGGTTGTTCATTCAAGCTGACATTAATGAGAGTAACTTAATCCAAGTAAGAGGAAATAGGTGTGATTGAAAATAAACTGTTCTTGAAAATAATTTGATCTTTTTTCTGTCCAGAGTTCTTCTATTAGCCTTTCAGAAAACACCTGTCTTCACTGGATTTCAAACCATACCAAGAAACAATGTTTAATGTTTGTTTTAACTCTAGGTACAGATACAGAAAACCCCATCCATATATTAAAACAACACTGTAATATTTTTTCAGATTAATTGTGAACACTAATTGTTGATGCATTCTGTCCCCTGGCCATCCAAATACAGAAGGCAATCTTGAGAGAGGTCATTTTTTATGATATTGCACAGTACACCAAAAAAATAGATAAGAAGGCAACTGGGAAAAAAAACATGGATATCTTAATGACTTAAGTGTCTGACGTAGTCTGAGCAGCCAATTTAATGTCATCCTGAGCCCTTACTGTTACACTGAGGCATATTGCAGGGCCTTTAGCTGAGTTCCAGCACTGTCCTGGCTGCAACTGTCTGGCTTCTGGCTTGCAGCTGGCATAAGTCCAGCTGGTTCTCAGCGGAAAGAGGTTTTGCTGCATACAGAATTCCACACGGACATCTGCTTGGTCCAGCTCTGCAGTGTTTTTTTGACTTTGCGTAATCAATTGGTCCGAGTCTGAATCATCACTTGGTTATTCAGCAGACCAGAGCCTTGGGTTCTGGTCTGCCATGCTCTTAATCTTGCAGCTCCGTATCTCTGCGGGGCCAGCTCTCCCTTCAAGACTGTGGCTGCTTGCAAGAGCTGGAACAAAAGAAGTGTTGGTCTCAAGAAAACCAGGGAGCCTTAGGGACAGCTTACTTGGATGTTTGCCCAGAAATTTGAAGCTTGCGCAGTTTGTGTCATCACAACTTCCAACACATAACAAAACATTTCTCTGGCTATCATCATGAATGTAAAGATGTGGGGGTGTGATATGTTTTACTTCAGAATGCCTATTACTTGAGAGGCACTGAAACCCTGTATATTGCCACTGGAGTACATGAAGTGCTTGTGTCTGCTTCAGTGATGAGCAGGGAGAGAAACAAAGATGCTCTGTGTAAGCGTAGAGATGCATGCTGCTCGGTCATGAGAGTGAGCCTTCCAGTTTGTGGAATCGCCATTCCCCCCCTGGAGATGTGTTTACATACCCACTGATTTCTCTTAGATCAAGATGAAAACAGCTCTGGTAGGTTTCACCTAGGTGGCATATGTGTCTCTGATGAGCACCACTCAGAAGCCTGCTACCAGCAGTTCTCATGTATGATCCTGGGCTCGAGAGAATGGCCACAGGCTGAAACACCTGCGGAGAACTGTGACTGCATCTACAGGGAGGGGTTTTCCATTTCTTGATGGGGATTGTGCAACTGATGAAAATGGCTCCTTTAAGCTTTGTCTTTGTGCAGATGTTTAGTATTCTGTTCGTGTTCTTCAAATGCCATCATTCGGATAACAGGAAGTAGTCAGGAATCATGAGATGAGGATTGGTTTAGAATGCAGAATAATTAAATGCTCTGCTAGCCCTCAAACCTAGAAATATGCTTGTTTTTTCTCCTCTCAGAGTTATTAATTCACCATAATAATCAGTTATGCTAATATAATAAGCATGCAAATTTCTAGCAGTAAAGCTTACAGCAAGTGTGACATTTGATGGCTAACTTTACCCATTTTATTTCAGGGAGAGATGCGGCATTCTACAAAACCCGAAGATGGTAAATCCTCAAAAAGGACAGATAAAAAAGACTGTAGGAGTGAAGCAGCTTCCAAAACTAAAGCACTGATTTATATACATGCAAAGAATTCCAATCACGTTTCTTCTTCTTCTTCTTTTTTTTTTTTTAACTGAAAATTTCTAAATTCAAAATGAATGTATTTGTGCTGTATTATACTGAGCCCAGACCCAGTGCATCTTCTTGGCAGCCCTAGTGTAAGTGTTCATCTTTGCCTGATGAAATTGTTCTTCTAGTTGCCATCTTTGTTCTGGTGAGCTCTGACCTTTTCCATTCTGGTTCTCATCAGTGATTCTGGGCATCAGGGAAGTGGGAGCCTTGGAGGACATTTCATTTGTTTATAGCCAATGTAGATCCTTGAACTCTGACTGCACAATAACTTGAAAATAAATAAGCCTTTAACATTTTTGACCTCTCAACGAAGAAGAAAAAAAAAGCACTGATTTAATCTGAAATGTAATCTCTCTGCCCAAATAGTGAATCTCAGAGAAAATTCCATCCAAGGGCATCCCCCCTTGGTGTAGCATCAAAGAGAGCCTCTCAAGTAGCTTGGTGCTGGTACAGCTGGACACGTTTTTCATGTGGCTTTTAAAAAGACCAACACATAGTTTATTATCCAGTCTGATTTCTTACATGACACCATACAGTAGAGCTCTTTTACAATATCAAATTGTTTTGTTTTGTTTTGTTTTTTCCCATGAACTTTACTGCTCCAACAGAGAGATGAAACACCTCCAAATTTAACTTTTTAAAAAGCTGGCATGCCACAGATCCAATGTTGACCACTACCTTTCCTTTGCATGGTTTAGAAGCATGCCTCCATGTCCATCTGCTTTAGGCACTACTTATGGGGAGAAATGAAAGACAAATGAGCATTTTTAAGGATTCTTTAGAGCCTGTCTTGTGGAGGGCTGTTCCTTTTAAACACTACATACACTTTATGTTTCCTGATATGCTATGTTGCTAATTGGGAATTTGAATTCTCAAATTAATTTTTGTATCCACAGCCTGGGTTCCATAAAAATCTCTATGTATTCTTCAGTGGCACTGATTTGTGTATTTTTAGGGTCCATAATAGTGCTGGTCTTTAAAGTTGGTCTCTTCAATGAACAGTAGGACTACATTGAACTTTAATTTTCAAGCATGCAATTATTGTTGCAGTTTCATTACCTACAACATTTTAGTCATTAAACTTTGACGGAATTTTTTTAAGTGGCAACAGAAAAAAATGTTTTGATAATGAAGCTCCAAGCCTCTAGGTTACATCTTAAAAGCTCTTGGCAGAGCAAATGTGATTGATTGACTGCCCTTTATTATTTTAAGAGCATCCCTAGCACTTTGCAATACCTACTAAGGCTTTTTGCCTCTTTAAGAGGAGTACAAATAGTTCCTTATTACTGGCAGCATTAAAGTGAGGCTGTAATTAAACTCTTACAAAAAGATCAATGATGTCATCCTAAAACGCAGGGAGAGAAGACCTGCAGTATTGTGCAGCATATTCAGTATGCAAACCTCATTTGTTCTCTTACACAGGGTGGGATGTATTACAGATATTTCTAATGTTACTACGATGCACCTGGTATCATTCTTTCTTTAGCAGGCTGGTCGGCATAGCACAGCTGATTAGGGTGTCTCTCTTCCGTTCCTGTTTTTTACATGGAAAGTTTCCAAATTCTGATTGTGCTGGCATTTGTCCTTGCGGAGAAGGAGATGGAAAAAAATCACCATAATAGTTCTGTTGGCACAAAAGACAAGGGACATCTGCAGTAGTGAAGAATATCCAGTTCTTGGATTCATGCAGCAAACATTTATCACTGCTCTCTCTGAAGCAAACGTTAGTCAATGCATTCAACTTCAGGCCATGTAACACCTCAAAAGGACTGAAAACTTTGTGCAAGCACGGAAGAGCAGCATCTATTCAAAGCAGGAGACTTGATCAATTCCCTAATGGGTAGTCCTTACTAAGGTAACAGTTTTGAAGCTTAAAAGGAGACTTTTATTGGTACAGTTGGTGCAGTAATGACCTGAGAAGAGGAGCAGACTATGTCCCTCTTAGTCCCTGTTTCAGCTTGCCAGGAACAAGCTCAGGATTTGAAACTCAGCAGTATGATAATTAAGCACTGAAACATGTGTTTCACCATACTAATTACGTGTCCAGCTGTAGCATTTGCTTTGCAAAGCGGTTGTAGCTCTCTACTGATGCGGTTTAAATTGGCATTTCATTCTCCTCATGTCTTTCTGAAAATAAGGGCATGCTGATGACTAAGTTTGTTGAGTCGAGTTTCTTTGCAGCAGCTAAAAGGTAGTTCTTGGTTTCAAAAGAAAACTGTGGGTTCAGAAGAACTACGGTTTCAAGGGAAATCCAAGAACTGTGGTGAAAACCAAGAACTTCTTCGGTGTTACATCTTTGGACCTCAATAACACTTTTATTTACACTGTTAGTTTTTGTTGGTTGGTTGGTTGGTTTTTCATTTGAGTTGGGTCAGGTTTTTTTGGGGTGGACAGGTGTTTGAAATTCCTGGATTTGTTTTGTGTAGACTTTTCTCACTGGTACACTCTACTTTGAAATGATTCGTGCTTACATTTGCAGCAATGAACACTTGCATGTCTTTACACATCTTCTATATGAAAGGTTTCAGTGCATTTAAGAGTCATTAATCCTTCAATGCACAGTGTGTACTATTATTCTCATTCTAGGCCCAGAAGACTGAATCACAGAGCTAGGTTTATTTAAACTAGAGATGGGAGCATAGTGAAGTCTGTTTTTTTTCTCTGTTTTCATGACAGGGTGACCTTTTGCAGTTTTGTTAAGCCATTGTAAGGTAAATTTTATCTCCTACGATTTTTCTGTGTGGCTTATTCTAAACAGTGGGTGAAGACAAAAATAGGAAATTGAATTGCTGATGGTTGTGGTCAGTGAGTGAATGGAACGAAATGCCAGAGGAAGGCAGGATTAGAGCTGAAGGTTTGAATCTGGCCAAACTTCTTCCTGCGGTACAGAATATAGTTGGGATTTCAGATGGATTGGTTGTAGTGTAAGTGTCCATAATCAGTGGACCGGGAAATTTGATCTCGTAACTCTTGGGACTTGAGAACACACTTCCTTTACGTGGTTACTCACGTAACTCCACCAGTTTCAGACAAGTCATGACATTGAGGTAACTATGGCATTTAAAGTACTTAGCCCTATTGTTGCTGGAAAATATGAATTAAAAAAATAAAATTCTGCTAAGCAAACATGATATCCCAAACATGATTTCACTACTGTTTTTTAAATTCTTGTGATGTAGAGGTATTGATTCACGATTTTTCTTTTTAATAAATCAGTATAGCAGCACTGAATTCCTCTATGGCAGAATAAAAATAAAATGTTTACTGGATAGACATTGACTATGTGGGTAATTATTAAGTAATTAGACAGCAGAACCATAGACTCCAGAGAACTTGGGTGATGAGTTTCCTCATATTGCAGACATTATTAACAGAATAGAAGAGATATTTCATTGCTTAAATGCTTTGTTTAATGGATGATCTATGTAAATAACTGAGTGGGTGGCACAGTTCACAGCTTTCCTGATTGCTATGATACTCCATTTCCACTGGCAAAGGTGAGGTGCATATTTTACTCTCAATACCTTTCCAGTAGGGGAAGATGCTGCACAGGCATCTTTAGAAATGTGATATGGCACAGCAAACAATAAATAAGTGAGTCCGTGTGCTGTTGAGCTTCTGCTGTTGCTGCCAGCCTGGTGTCAAACACAAACAGTAATTTGAAATAACTGGTTGGAAGCAGAAGTAAACTGCATGGATGAAAATCACATCTAATTGCAACAGCTTTATCTCTTTACATGGAGGTGTCACACTAATGGCAGACATCTCTAGGCGATGTAATGAGGCTTTTCCAAGGTGGCAGTGTTTGTTTAACTTGGTAGATGATTTTAACCCTCTCTTCCAAAGATACAAACATTGCATGTGGTTCCTTACAGGCTATAGCGTGGAACCCAGTTCTCCAGGACTGCTGCTCTTTTGAGGCATGATCAGCTGATGCTGATCAACTGCTTGTGCTACCTGGGCAGTTTCTAACGCAGAGGTAGAGCTGGGCTTCCAGGTGTAGGTAATGCAGTTTCTTCAGTGCTCTGGTGCCATGACCCAGTCCATGTTTGAGAATCTCCAGTACTCCATCAGGATTTGATATCAGCGAGTTCCCTGGTGCTGACTTCTCTGAGGTAAGCAGCCGAGCTTCATTCCCAGGCTGGCGAAGTTCCTACACCACAGCTTCCATGCAACTGCCTCACCCCTTCCTTTGCTGCCTGGGACAAGGCAAACCCCGCTTCAGCAACCCACCTCTGAAGTGGGGAGAACCGTATGCTGAAAAACAACATGAAGATAAACACAGCAGTGCTGGAAGGAAACCAGCTGGTAAAAGCACAATGAGCCCGAACAAGCCTAACCTAAATCAAACGGGTTTTCTTTTGTCTTATGGTGAAGGATAACACTGCAGACCCATTAGTGCAGACCCTTAACAGCTGTGTCTGCTGCGTCTTACTGAAAAAAAAATATTATCAGTCATGTCAGGGTATTGCCCAATGGACGCAGCCCAGCAGCATCACTCCCGTTGTCAAAGGAAAAAATGTGAGCCATGAAAACAGAAGGACCCCTGGTAAGGTGTGGCTGAGCACACGCTGTGCTCCCACTGCACCACAGGCACTGCTTGCAGCAGCTGTCCAAGCCCTCCTCAGCACTAGCAAGTGGCCTGTGGGGAATCTGCTCAGGAATGGCGTGGTTTAACCGAGCAATGCAGGCTGGGGAGCAGGGAAGTCATGCACAGCTGAAGGGTTATTTTGGGGGAAGGATGAAGCAACAAGGGTGTGCCCTCTTGACTCATCTGGTGCTGATTAGGAATAGGACAGTGATATGTCTTGGGAAAAAAAAAATAAATAGAGAGAAGGAGGAAATAAAAGCATGGGATCTGTCTCAGACTAGTGCTTAGAAGTCATACATCTAAACCTGAGCTAATCACCATCTGCTCCATGTGTAGTCAATGGAAGGAAATTGACACCTTCATCAGTGAGCAGTTCCTCTCATTCTAACAAAGAGAGAAATGGATCAGATGACCTATCTAGTGGATTTCTCTCTACTGACTGGAAAGAAAATCTAGGATGACAAATTCAGGAAAAGCTGCCTAACGCGTAGCTAGGTAGGTTGAATCCTGTTATTGAAAACATCTTTATTTTTCTTGATCTGGTTAGGGAGAGTGACACCCAACATCAGTAGAGATGTTAAGGCAAGAATAAAAACCTTGCTGCAATCTGACTCCCCTTTGTGTTATCTTTTTTTTTTTTTTTTCATGCAACAGCCCAGCACACAACAGAGGACCTGTTCTTAAGCACCCTATTTACAAGGCACACTGATCTATTCTCATGTTTCATCAGCACTTACAAGGACAAATTACCTTATTTTTTTTTTCCCTCCTTTTGAAGAGATTTGGCAAGCTCCATGTTCTTTTGAAATCAAAACAACAAGCTGCTGCATTATTCTAAAAAGCCCTCTCTAAAGCCTGTGTAACTCCAATATACAGGTGGGAAAATATAGCCCATAGATCAATTTGCTACAGACCTCAGAAGAAACCTGATGCAATCATCTGGTAGGAATCAATAATGTAGAGATCAATACTTTTTTGTATGTTCCTGTCTCTTAAAAAGCTGAGCTAGGAATTTACTAATGACAAGTCAAATTATTGCCTGGGCAAATTTGTTCTTGGAGGATTAAAGTAGTTTGCAAGTCCTGCCAGGCCTGCAATGGCTGACAGCATAACTTCATTAGTACAATATATTTCTAGGCCAAGGATAATTTGTCCAAATACACTTAAAATGTTTGGATTAAGTCATCTGCCACCAGAAATCATTTGTTTCTTTCTCAGGCCAAGCCTTTTGTCTCTCACTGGCACTTGAGGACAAATGCTTCTCCTGTGCTATTGCATACAAAATCACAGAGCCACAGGATGGCTGAGGCTGGCAGGACCTCCTGGAGGCCCCTGGTGCCAGCCCTGCCCAAGCAGGGACACCCAGAGCAGGCTGCCCAGGCCCACGTCCAGGCGGCTTTTGGAGCTGCCCAAGGAGGAGACCCCACAGCCTCTCTGGGCAGCCTGTGCCAGGGCTCCGTCACCCGCCCAGCACAGCAGTGCTGCCTGGTGCTCAGAGGGAGCCTCCTGGGTGCCCGGCTGTGCCCATGGCCTCCTGTCCTGGCACTGGGCACCACTGAGCACAGCCTGGCTCCGGCCTCTCTGCACCCTCCCTTAGGGGATTTATGGACAGGGATGAGATCCCCCTGAGCCTCCTCTTCTCTGAGTTGAAAGCCTTTCCTCTCAGGGGAGGTGCTCCAGTCCCCTCATCACCTTCATGGCCATTTGTTGGATTGTCTCCAGTATGTCCATATCTCTCCTCTACTGGGGAGCCCAGAACCAGACACACTTCTCCAGGTGTGTCTCACCACTGCTGAGGAAAGGAGAGGAATCACCTCCCTAAGCTGCTGCCAGTGCTTTGCCTGATGCAGCCCAGGACACCGTCAGTCTTCTTGCAGCAAGGGCAAATGAGGAATGGGGACAGTAAAAACGGATTGAAAGACCACACATTTGTGCTGTGTTCCCCACTCTGGACATCTGCAATAAAACACCAAATTAAAAAAATTACCGTGTCATGCTTTGCTCATTGCTGTCATGGCTAATGTTTCTCAATTTTTATTAATACCTTTTCAATGGCTAGTTTTTCTGAGTGTACACCACAGACATGCAAAACTGGGCAAGTAACAGAACTCTGGAGAAACTATGTCAACATAATGCCAGCCAGAAGCAGAAAAAAACACCGCCTTTCAATCCAATCACAATTAGAAGACCAAATATTTGGTATTACAAAACCACATGCTAAATCGTCGTGTAGGTTTTGATGCTTCAGCCACTCCAAGCTGCCTCTGACCCCAACTGCCCTCAGAAATCCTGACCACCCCCATTTGCAGGCTGATATCTGTCTGGTCTATCATCCATCCATCCATCCGTCCGTCTGTCAGTCCGTCCATCCATCCACCAAGGGAGGTGCCTGATGCCCGAGATTGGGAGTGCTCTGGTGGGCCCAGTGGCCCTGCTTAGGCCTGGGGTAGTGGTGGGACAGGCCTGGCTGCCAGGACCTGCCCTGATGGCCCATGTAGCCCTGCTACCCCTGTCCCCAGGGGAACCACTGGCCCTAGAGGTGCCCTGTCATCAGTGTCACCTGCACAACTGCTACCACAGAGGCCCCAGGAGCAAGCTCGGTGGGACCAGAGACCAGAAACCCCTCCGCAGCAGAGGTCACCAGCTGCTGCCAGTCCTGTCAGATTTGCTCTTGTTGATAACAATGACACAAATAACAACTCCCTAAAATGCAGGAGTGATTTACTTTAAGCACTTTAGCACCTGCTGTTGCTCATTAAGGGATTATCATGCCCCAGATTGTTACTGGCAGTCCAGCGCTTACAGTTTTAGCAGGCAGCACGTTCCTGCAAGTTACCTTCTAATGGCAGGGTTCACGTTCACCTCTCCTCCTCCTGACCCCCAAGGCCTTCAAATTGAGATTTTACACTGAAGCCTCACAATTTGGAGGTGGGACAGTTAGGAGAAAATTCATCAATTATATCAACATGGATGCTTTTAGTATTGGATATCAGCATTTGACAGTATGTCACGATTCAACGCAGTTGGGCATTATCTGTTGTTGGCTTTGCCAACACAGGGCTGGGGGTTGTTCAGCAGTTTTCATGGCAGATATTCCAAAATCCTTGGTAAAATACCTGCCTTGCTCCTCATAGCACTCTGCTCTTCCTAGTTAATTGCTTTACTTACTTGTTCTTGACTTCTCCGTTATCTGCAGCACAAGCTTTCTCGCCAGTAGCATTTCACAGTGCTGCAAACCGATTCCTTCATCCTGCTCCCTTGAAGCTGGTCACCTGCAAGCCTGACTCACAGCAGGGCTCAGCTGTGAGCTGCTGACCTGGTGATTTCCTGGCACCATCTGTTTCCTAATGCCAGCTCTGGCTGCTGCTGTGCCCTCTTTGAACTCTGCACTCCTCTCCCTGGTCTCACTGGCAAAATATTAATGAGGAATTGCTTGAATTTTACTGCTTTATACAGCTCTGTGGACTACTTGTCTGGTCTGAAGGAATGAACATTTGGGAACAGTGCCCTTGGCATTTACCAGAGCAGAAAGAAGGAATGGTCTGTGCCCAAAGATCCAGAATATGGGAAGAAGAACATGCAAACATTACAGAGGACAAACAGTACCCTGCTTCTTTCCCAGCCAAAGCTCTGGGGATGTGCAAAAGGCAGAAGAGGGAAGCAATATAAAAATGTAAATAGAAGTTAGTTAAAACTGGCTGTATTTTAAAAATTACTCTTCACTTATTCAGGGCTGTTCTATATAACTACATCCTATGATATTCTTGTGCAAAGAATAACTTTATGACTATTACCTAAATAACAGATTTATGCCATGGAAGACAAAACTGATCCATAAAAGTTTCAACTTATTTTCTGGGAAAATCCAGCATTTTTATAAAAACATTGTAGTTTCATATAAACATTAATTTAAAACAAGCACTGGCAAAAAGACGGGGGAGAGGAGGAAGCTTACTTTATAAAACTCCTTGAAAGGTTTACTTAAGAAATACTTTTGAGGGACTATTTTAAACCTAAAATTGTGCTTAGAGGCAAGGAGGATCATTCTGCTACAGAAGAAAAGGGGCTTGCCAAGGGCATAATTTATTTACTCAGAAAGATAAAGCTTAACAAGTTTAATGGACTGGTTGAATTTTCACATAAAGAAAATAGAGGGAGACAATGCTCTCAAGTAAAGCGGGAAGATTTTGGCATTCCTTTTAAGAATAGGAGTGTAACTGTAGCTGAGGTACTTGTCCAAAGTGTGTCAAAGAGCATTCAGTGGATTCCCAGAGAGGTTTTCAGGGGCATTTTAAAAAGAGGGTTAAAGAGAAAATAGCACAGAATGAGCTATTAAGGTTTACGATGTGAGCCAGATTTTCAAAGGACTTCACAGACTGGAGTCAAAGGCGGCCTAAATGAGACAGGGCTTGAAAGTTAGGCTCCAGAAAGGGAATTCGTGGTGCTGAATCTGCCTCTGATGACCAATTTGTATCGACTGGGGAAAGTCATAAATCAGAGGAGGAGATTTGCAGCACTCAGATGCTGAATGGCGAGAAGCATAAGCCAGCCAGGCAGTAGTCCAGCTATCAGGATCAGGACGAGGAATGGTGGAGAGCTCCCTTCAAATCTGCTCTATCTTATCCAAATCAAGCAAGTGAGCTATTTCTGGGGGGAGCTTCACTTTCAGTTATTGACCACTTTGCTATGAAATGCAGCTTAACCAGAAAGTCTTTGCTGTACTCCATTTTGGATCCCTCAAAATGCTGGGAACATTTCAGCCTTTCTATGGTTCCTTGTTAGCAGGGTTTTGTGCCATACAGAAATAAAGGCATCACTGATGTCATCACCTGCATATTGCCACATAGATGTTTTCCACAGTCACGGAAAACTGTGGGGTTTGAGAAACAGAAAATATGCTGCTAGAATATTTCAATAAATTAGTGTTTTGTTTTGTGTTTTTTTTTTTTGTTTGTTTGTTTGTTTGTTTTAAATACCACTTCATGTTGTTAAATGTATCCATATACAACAAATCTCAGAGTAATCACAGTCAAGTGAAATGAAAAGGTCTCCTTAATAAGGAATGTCACGGAGGTTTTTGTAACCTTTTCACCCTCTCTCTGGCCGATCAACATTTATAATACGCGCATCCCTGGGAGCGATGCTCTACCTGGGTCCATTCTTTGTCTTTGTTGATGCCCATAAAGCATTTGTTTAAATATAGGAGGTAATTCTCCCTCTTCTTTAACCCCTTTAACCTCCCTCTAGCCTTAAACATAACTAATATTAAAGAGTCTGAAGTCACAATTTGAAAATTTTAACAAAATAGGGATAGCAAAATTATTGTCTGTGAGCTGATCAGCCAAGCTGTAGCTCTCGGGAAGGTGAAGTTTGAGCTGCTTCAGTGTGTGCAGTAGGTTTTCTCCCCAAGTATGAAACTGTTCCCAAAAAAGCCTTTTTTTTTATTGTGCATGTCTTGTCCTGTGATTTTAAACTAAGGCTGAGGTGAAAGCATTACAGGTGCCAGTCTTGTAGTTGAATGCTGAAGTTATTTTCAGGCACCTGGCTCTTAACTGGTTAGTGGAATCACAAACCTATAAAATTTAGGTGGTTTTTGAGTAAAGCTGCTTGATTTTTTTCTTAGAAAAGGTAGGAAATCAAAGTCAGCCTTAAGGACGTGTGGCATGTCTAGGACTGCAGCTTCCCTGTAATAAGAGACTATTTGCTATGGGGAAAAAAATAATTAAATTAAATTAAATTAAAAAACGCAGTAACAAATTCTGGTGATCATTGTTCTAAAGTGTGTATTTTTCTTTCAACAGTAAAACATGAAAAAAATGTGGAAAATACTTCACACCAAAGTTTTATAATGGCTTTTAGTGACTATTATTCTATTTATGAGTTTTGGTTTTGTCTTTGAATTTTCAAGGCTCAATTTCGGGTGCTGAATGTGGTGTTTTCAGTACAAGGAACACAGGCCTTGTTTTCTGTAAGTCCCTGTCACCACCACAGGTAACAATACTCCCAGGGCAGTAGCACCCGCTGGGAGTGCACGTTCAGGATGGTGGATGGAGGATTTGTACTGTGTGAGAAAACCTGAGGCTGATATATGACAACACCACAAAAATCTGCGGTCCTGGTAATTTTTTTATCAGGTGGCGGTTATCTAACCAAAAGATTTTCTGGGGTTTGTAATGTGAAGATTTTCTTTCTTTTTGCTGTATTGTACCTTAAACTTCCAGGGCAGTCAGCAGAAGCTGCCGGAGAGCTGCATGGCTCTGGGAACAGCATCCCATTCATCTGGCCTAAGCTCTTGGGAAAACACTTTTGAAAGAAGTGGTTCAGCTAAAAATAGATGATTACTTTTAAATTTGCCTTTTAAAGGCCATTAAGTAATCAAATTTGCTCCTTTGATTGGGATGAAGGCTCAGTAAACCTGCGTAGCTATGTGTGCTGATGAATATGGAGGGGGGAGCTCTGTGTAGCAGGGCAGAAAGTTCCTAGGTAATGGCCATGTCTGGTTTCCTTCAGAATAAGGCATTTCACTGGGTGAATATTGAGCAGCCTTTGCTTGGGCCTACGGGATCTCCTGGGGTCATCCTGTGGGATTTGCTCTGGCCTAGGTGTCCATCACAGCTTGTTGCACCGGCAAGGCTCAGCACCATGACCGAGGTACGTACCTTGAAGGCTTCATTTTACTCAGAGGATCCTGAATAGGGAATGATGTTATAATTAGGACACTAGACTGGGCTGTGGGAGATGCTGATGATACTGTGACTCAATTTCTCACTTGCCTGTGGGATAACAACTGTTTCCTGTGGGTGTTGCAGGGACTGTAATGCTGTCATGTTTTAGAGGTGTCTCCATCTCGAAGTGACAGGCATCACCGGTGAAAACCTGCAAATGAGTCAGTGCCTGCTAACTCAGAAAGACGACACAAGAAAATTGAATGAATGGTGGAAATGGTGCGTGCTTACTCTTATTGAACACCAAAGAAACGAGGCTCTCTGACTTTACTGGCTGGCCACCCAGCAAGAAGTAATACCCAGTTTTTTACAATGACATCCTGCGAGCTGTTAAGGCCATGGACTATTTCTGCAGCACAGTAGAGCCCCGATCCCATTTATTTGTCATGTAAATTTCTACCAATCTAGCCTAAATGAATTTCAGTGGTTAGTTAGTGAGTATTCTTCATTCTCCTGTCCTGAAAACTAAGCCTCTTCTCCATGGGCTGGAAGACCTTCCAATGGGTAGGACAGGCCAGCCCACCTTTGCAGTCAAAAGGACAGCCACATGTGGAAATACTTAGTCTCTTCTTCAGCATGCTGTGGGCAAAACTTTGAATAAATGGCTTTGAAATCTGTCATGTTCAGATGTCCAACTGTTGGAGGAAAGAGACCCTTTATCTTCCTTCCTTACTGGCTTAAGAACTGGACACAATATGCTATTTTGTCTTAGCTGAAATGAGTACAGAACATCTAATAGGATTGCATCATTGCCAAAACAGCTTTGGGTTAGAGAAGCGAGCCTGAACAAAACCGTTGACTCTGCTGGGAATATTTTAAGTCTCTTCTTCACGAGTGGCTCTCCTGCTCTGCCATTCTCCATAACTTTTGAAGGAAAAAGATGAGATACTCAGTTCAGATTTCAGATCTCATCCAAACAGATGCAGTGACAGACGCTGCTTCTTGTCTCCCAATGTAAGACAAACACAAAAAAAATTAAAAGGCAGAATATTTGTATTGCAAAACTGATAGCAGCAAATGAGAAGTGGTAACAATAACATGTAAAGTGACTTCACTTTTTAAGTGGTTCTTCACTTGAAGAACCTTTAAAGTAAGAGTTTATGCCTTGTAGCTGAGCTATAGCTTATTTCAGTTTAAATTCTGCAGGCTTCTCAATCCAAGCAAAAGATCCACCCACAAGAAACAGCTTGCAGGCTCAGACCTTTAGCTGGAAGAGTGAGCTGACTACTGTCAGTCAGCTTGCCTGTGTATACCCTCCCTCCTCTCTTCCTAAAATAGCAATAGGTAGTTGAAAATTTATTTTCATGGGAGTGGGGAGGTGATAGGAATAATAAAATGAATTCATAAGCCTAGTTATGCGCGGTGAAATATATCTCCTGATTCTCATGTATATTAGCCATTCACATATGGTGTATGGCAGCAGAGCTCACAGTTAATGCCAGTCAAATGGATTTTGACATTTAAAGGTCAAGTAGCACCAGCATTCATTGAGAGAGCATGATCAAAACAAAAATGATATGCAGAAGTGAGCCTGAGAAAGAGAAATTAAGAGAACGATGCTGTGATAGCTTGCCATTTTGCTTGTCAAGGGGTTTTGAAGATCAGTAAGGAAAGTTTCTCCTGTCATGCGCTATGGAATAAAGTTCTAAAAGTGACGTATAAGGACAAACCACTTGCCAAAAAATGGCTATGGCTCCTGTCAGTTAGAGATCAGACAGCAAATGCAGCTGCAAAGCAGAGGTAACAACAAAGAATTGTGTGGCACAGCTTTGCTTTTGCTGCCTTCTGCTTCCTTTAAAGAGCAGACTAGTGTGCTAACCTTACCAATGGTCCACACGTTCTCCCATCTCCTTCCTTCTCTTTTGTTCTTTGAAAGTCATTATTTGTTTTCATCTGCGAGCTGTACAGGGCCTCTTACTCAGCTTAAAACCCCCAGAGCTGTGATGGCAGAGGAGGCTTAGATACATCTCACTTGACACAGTGCTATCATTTGTGTAACATAAGAGAATTGAATTTTTTTTTCTTAGCTCTTGTTGTTATAGCACTTTTATAATAGCCATAGTCAGAGCAAAAGCCTTTGAGAAGAAATGTAAACATTTCTCTAAATTTGTTCTGTTACATAAGAACTGAAAGGTGAAACCAGCTTTTCCCTCATTCCAGAACAAAAATAGACCAAAAGTACAAATGAGAGATCAAACCCTAAACTTTACTTGAAATCCATTTGCAGTTAACACATAAGGCTGGTTTCTCAGCTTCCTGCTGTCCGTGCGCTTATGTCTGTAAGTCACTGCTTGACATCTACTTTTCCACAACCTCCAGCTCACCTGAGAATCTGCCTTTGACAAAGACTGTTCACATGAATCTTTAAGCAGGATTTTTAAAAGGCTGACATTTAGCTTGACGGGAAGAAGAATGGCATAACTGCAATGATAGTACACGCTCTTTTCCTCTCTACTTTTGGAAGGATGAAAGGAGAGGTCTGTCTTCTTTCAAGGCATTTTCAAATTTCCAGCAATGAGTTAGCAAGAAATGCATCCCTGTGATCAAAACACCATAAGTACCCACTGCGATTTCTTACAATGCTGCTGTGTGAACCGGCAGTGCTGGTCTGAAACTTGACCTCCCTGTGGCACGGCAAAGAAGCAATGCACCTTAAAGAGTTTCAAATATGTAAGACTTCCAGGAGAAAAAATGATCACAGGGAAAGGTCTCTGATTGACAGATTTTGATCTGCCTCTGCATTATGCAGCATGGAAAATGAAGGATAAAGGATTTTCAATTTTCAAATATATTTTTAAAATCTATACAAGTTGATTTGACTTGGAAAAAAATGGATCATACTGAATAGAGGGAAAAGCAATAAAATATATGGAAATGAAATAAAACGGAAGCAACTGGCAGTTCTTCTGGATGGAAAGTGTTTACACATAAAAAATAGTGGACACGTTTTACTTTCTGATGCACTTCCTCCATTTTA